ATGAGAAGGGAGTTGCAATAGTCAAGGCGAGAGATAACAAGGGAGTGAATAAGTACCTTGGCAGTAAGGCCATATCTCTGCTCACATCCGGAGATATTCCTTATCAGAAGGAACCTTTCCTCATTCGAGCAGCATTGCCTAATAGGGGAATAAAGGAGACACTTGTTGTCCCATCTGTATTTGATATTAAGGACTAATGCTCCACAGAATCTTTCCTTTTCTTCAACATTGGGAAAAAGACTTAGGAATTACTTTTACACAAACTCAAAAAGATAAAATGTTATCGCTTGCTTACAAATCATCAATTGTGGATACATATCAAGAAGGAAGTTCTAAACTCTTTAAGAGGTGGTAGATAACTCCATCAGTGATGTATCATGTGTTTCCCTAGACTTCCAATTTATGTTGGTGATGTGGGGAATCGGAAGGTACCCTTACTCCATATTTTTTGGGCATGACCAAAACTAAATGAATTTTGGAAGATGGTGGAACGCACAAAGAAAGAAATAGCTGGAGTGTCTCTTGAGAGGAATCCGATGGTGTACCTGCTTCATGATACACCTTTATCTTATTGGAAACATAAGGACTCTTTGTTAAAACATCTTATTGTGGCAAAGGCATGTATTCCAGCTTTTTTGGAAAAGCCATTATCCGCCAACTAAGTCTCATTGGCCAGTGACAATAATGGAAATCCAAATAATGGAAGATTTAACTATGGCTAAGAGAGAACAGAGTACTGGAATATATGGTCCACTTACTTTTTAAACAAGGAGCAAACAGCTTTGGAAAATCAGTGAGACGCTCAATGAGATAAAGACTCACCCAAGAGGCCGGAACTCACCACAAGTGGGGGAGAAGGGATAAGAGGCAAAAGTTGGGGAGGCTTTTTTTTGGTCTTGTTTTGTTTGTTTTGGGTAAAGAGGGAAAATAATAATCAGTCTGTTAAAAGATAGAGGGTTCTTTGGATGGAACAGGAATTTTTCTGTTTATTTATACATATGTAACTAGGTAAGAGGCCCGCATGTGGTAAAAGTCTATGGATATGGTATTGTAGTGGATCCGTTACAATTTCTTTTTGTGAGTTTTGTTGGGTTTAAATAAGATGTATGTTCATTAATTATGCAGATATATAAATAAAGAATTTATTTAATAAAAAAAAAAAAAGGGGGGCCAATTTTAGAGATGTTACAGAGGTGAAGTCTACAAGTTTTTGACAGCAATTGGATTTGGGGCTGAAAGGACAGGTCAGAGTCTAGGATTACACCTAGTACCCTGGATGAGGGGAGGGACTGACAGCTACCAGACTTTCTGCTTCTGCCTTCCCGTGTATGACCTGTCTGAATCTTGTCCTCCTGTGTTTGGCCATGGCCTGTCTTTTGTACTCTGCTTGCTTCTTTCTGATGTAGTACCTCTCTGTCTGGCTATTATTGACCTCAGCCTGTATCCTGACACCATCTCTGCCTTCCACAATGCTGCTCATCTTCCGGTTTTTTACACATTGCTGCCTTGTTGTTGATGACCAGGACAAAGAAGGTTTTGGATGGAGATCCACTTTAATGGACACCATGGATCCATTAACATCTTGGCATCCTCATGCATTAAAGCAGTGGTCTCCAAACTGCGGTCTGGTGGCCAAGTATGGCCCTTTGCTTGCTTTTATCTGGCCCTTGGGGCATTATTCCCCCCACCATCAGCAACAGTGGGGCAAAGTTCCCACCACTGACACCAACAATGTAGCACTATTCCTTCCACTGACACCAATAATGCCGCATTATTCCTTCTACTGATACCAATGATGGGGCACTATTCCTTCCACTGACAACAATAATGGGGCACTATTCCTCCCACTGACACCAATGATATTGCACTATTCTTCCTCCGCACACTAATGACAATGCACTATTCCACTCACTCACCACTATTCCTTCTACTGACAGCAATGACAAGGCACTATTCCACTCGCTGACACCAATGATGGGGCACTATTCCACTCACTGACACCAATGATGGGGCACTATTCCTCCCACTGATACCAATGATGGGGCACCTATTCCTCCCACTGATACCAATGATGGGGCACTATTCCCCCTGACACCAATGATGGGGCACATTCCTCCCACTGATACCAATGATGGGGCACTATTCCTCCCACTGATACCAATGATGGGGCACTATTCCTCCCACTGATACCAATGATGGGGCACTATTCCTCCCACTGATACCAATGTTGAGGCACTACTCATCCCAATAATACCAATGATGGGACACTATTCCTCCCACTGATGCCAATGATGGGGCACTATTCCTCCCACTGACACCAGCAATGGGAAACTATTCCTTCCATTGATAGTGCACTATTCCTCCTCCGGACACTGATGACAAGGCACTATTCCACTCACTGACACAATGATGGAGCACTATTCCTCCTACTGACGCCAATGATGGGGCACTATTCCACTCACTGACACAATGATGGAGCACTATTCCTCCTACTGACACCAATGATGGGGCACTATTCCTCCTACTGGCACTAATGGCAAGACACTATTGCTCCCACTGATACCAGTGATGGGCACTATTCCTCCCACTGACAGCAATGATGGGGCACTATTCCTCCCACTGACAGCAATGATGGGGCACTATTCCTCCCACTGATACCAATGATGGAGTACGATTCCTCCCACTGATACCAATGATGGGGCATTATTCCACTCACTAACACAATGATGGGGCACTATTCCTCCCACTGACAGCAATGATGGGGAACTATTCCTCCCACTGACAGCAATGATGGGGCTCTATTCCTCCCACTGACACCAATAATAGGGCATTATTTTTCCTACTGAAACCAACGATAGGGCACAATTCCTTCTACTAACACCAATGATGGGGCACTATTCCTCCCACTGATACCAATGATGGGGCACTATTCCTCCCACTGATACCAATGATGGGGCACTATTCCTCCCACTGACACCAATGATGGGACACTATTCCTCCCACTGATGCCAACAATGGGACACTATTCCTCCCACTGACACCAGCAATAGAAAACTATTCCTCCCATTGATACCAGTGATGGCCCACTATATCTCCCGTTAATATCAATGATGGGGCATTGTTTACTCCCACTGAGGCCAGAACATTTTCTTCTCCTACTGGCCACAGTCCAGCCCAACTAAATTCTAAAAGACAGTAAACTGGCCCTTCATTTATAAAGTTTGGAGACCCCGGCATTAAAGCATTTTTTTGTGTGCGTATCCTGCGTTGTACCAAGGCAGCCCATTCAAACGCCACTCATAGGCCTCATGCACATAGGGCATTTGAATGTCTCCTATGAACGCCATTTAATCCCGGCAGGCAGGAAAAAAAGCAGCTTAAAAAACACTCCTAAAGTTACGTATTGCATGCGCATTTAGGTGCATTTAGGCACGTCAAGTGTTTGAGTGTTTATGGATTCTATTGGCCAGAATATGAAATGATTCTGGTCATTAGAATGAATGAACACTCAAGCGCTAAATGCGTCTAGCGTTTAGGTGCATTTAACGTGTTTACGCATGTGTTTGGGAAGAAAAACATCAGTGCTCTTCTTCTGCTTCTTTCCTTAGGGATGCTGGAATAGATCAGACTCATTCTGATTGGTTAGCACTGGCGCATGACCACTTTGACCAATCATAGTTACATAATTAGTTTGGCTGAGAAAAAACAAAAGTCCATCCAGTTCAACCATAGAAAAAAAAAGTTATAATCCTACACCCACAATTGATTTAGAGGAAGGCCAAAAAAAATCAGAATCAATTTGATCTGTCCTGGCATCCCCAAGGAAAGAATGGAAAGAAGACCGTAGCTTTCAGATCCCTTGACTGCTACTCACACTACACGGGCTATGAGAACGAATCATCCACGGAGATAAAGGCAGCAGGGACTCAGGAATTTTCTTCATTTGTTGTGAAAAGTTGAACTTATACTTTTTTTTTTCTATTTTTATTAATTTAGTTTGATATCATAAAAAAATGCAAAATTAGGGGGAAAACCCTTTAATTAATTTATAAATAATTTTTGCAGTGCTTTGCACCAGAATCATAAGTCCTCATGCACATTGGACATTTTTACAGTGGCTGTTTTAAGCTTTTGACGTTTTTTTTTCTGGCATTTACACGTTTGGGAAGAAAAAAAGCAGTGGTCTTCTTCCACTTCTTTCCTTAGGGATGCTGGGACAGATCGAACTCATTCTGATTGGTTAGCACTGGCACATGACCACTTTGACCAATTAGAATCATTTTGATCTGTCCTGGCATCCCCAAGGAAAAATATAGTTGCGTCAATTGGCAAAATACAGGTCAGTATATCAAAAATTGGGCAGCACAGTGGCTTAGTGGTTAGCACATCTGCCTTGCAGTAAATGGGTCATGGGTTCAATTCCCAACCATGGTGCGTCCTGTATGGAGTTTGCATGTTCTGCCTGTGCTTGTGTGGGTGTGCTCCAGTTTCCTCCCACACTTCAAAGACATGCTGGTAGGTTAATTGGCTCCTGTCTAAATTGTCCTAGTTTCATCTCTGGCCAGGTGGAATCTCCTGCATGGTGGGGTTGGGGAAAGACCTGGCAACCTACCCTGTAAAATAATTGCCAAGAGAATTCATGGAAAAAGTCACTTACGGGTGACGGTCCATGCAATCGCCAAGGGTTGGATAGATAGATAGATCACAAATTAAGCATGCAATGAAAATGCTAAAGAAAAACCACATTTTCTTATGTCCACATATGGAATATGCAACAAGATGCATGTTGACATTCCCAGTGTGAACAAATTCACAATGCATTCAAAACACATTTTTTTCTTTGCAAATGTGCAATGTGTAGCAGTAATGTGCATGTTAATGCACGTTACATGCGTTAGCATGTTGCAGTAACATTCACTTTGAATGGCAACCAAAACCCCCCGCCATGTTCTCCTATGTGTCCATCCCCGGCATGTTCTCCTATGTGTCCATCCCCGGCATTTTATCCTATGTGTCCATCCCCGGCATGTTATCCTATGTGTCCATCCCCAGCATGTTATCCTATGTGTCCATCCCCAGCATGTTATCCTATGTTTCCATCCCCAGCATGTTATCCTATGTGTCCATCCCCGGCATGTTATCCTATGTGTCCATCCCCAGTGTGTTATCCTATGTGTCCATCCCCAGTGTGTTATCCTATGTGTCCATCCCCAGCATGTTATCCTATGTGTCCATCTCTGCCATGTTATCCTATGTGTCCATCCCCAGCATGTTATCCTATGTGTTCATCCCCGGCATGTTATCCTACATGTCCATCCCGGGCATGTTATCCTACGTGTTCATCCCCGGCATGTTATCCTATGTGTTCATCCCCGGCATGTTATCCTATGTGTCCATCCCCGGCATGTTATCCTACGTGTTCATCCCCGGCATGTAATCCTATGTGTCCATCCCCGGCATGTTATCCTATGTGTCCATCCCCGGCATGTTATCCTATGTGTCCATCCCCGGCATGTTATCCTACGTGTCCATCCCCGGCATGTTATCCTATGTGTCCATCCCCGGCATGTTATCCTATGTGTCCATCCCCGGCATGTTATCCTACGTGTCCATCCCCGGCATGTTATCCTATGTGTCCATCCCCGGCATGTTATCCTATGTGTCCATCTCTGCCATGTTATCCTATGTGTCCATCCCCAGCATGTTATCCTATGTGTCCATCCCCGGCATGTTATCCTATGTGTCCATCCCCGGCATGTTATCCTACGTGTCCATCCCCGGCATGTTATCCTATGTGTCCATCCCCCGGCATGTTATCCTATGTGTCCATCCCCGGCATGTTATCCTATGTGTCCATCCCCGGCCTGTTATCCTATGTGTCCATCCCCGGCATGTTATCCTATGTGTCCATCCCCGGCATGTTATCCTATGTGTCCATCCCCGGCATGTTATCCTGTGTGTCCATCCCCGGCATGTTATCCTATGTGTCCATCCCCGGCATGTTATCCTATGTGTCCATCCCCAGCATGTTATCCTATGTGTCCATCCCCGGAATGTTATCCTATGTGTCCATCCCCGGCATGTTATCCTATGTGTCCATCCCCGGCATGTTATCCTCTGTGTCCATCCCCGGCATGTTATCCTATGTGTCCATCCCCGGCATGTTATCCTGTGTGTCCATCCCCGGAATGTTATCCTATGTGTCCATCCCTGGCATGTTATCCTGTGTGTCCATCCCCAGCATGTTATCCTCTGTGTCCATCCCCGGCATGTTATCCTCTGTGTCCATCCCCGGCATGTTATCCTCTGTGTCCATCCCCGGCATGTTATCATCTGTGTCCATGCACACATAGACTTTGGCTGGAAAAAAAAACAGGACTAGTGGGCTTTTAGAGGAGTTTTGTAGTTGTAAAAACGCTCTAATGCTGAAAAACGTGTCAAAATGCGGTAAGTCCTCACGCACAGTGGACATTTTTACATCTGCTGTTTTTGGCTTTTGAAGGATTTTTATACAGCTAGTAAACCCCCCCAGCATGTTATCCTATGTGTCCATACACACATAGACTGTGACCAGCGTTTTTTGGCTGGTATGTTTTTTGGCTGGAAAAAAAACAGGACTAGTGGGCTTCTAGAGTAGTTTTTTACCTGTAAAATTGCTCTAACGCTGAAAAACGTGGCAAAATGTGATAAAGCACGTCAAAAAATTTTCTGTTGTGGGGAGGGTAAAAAAAACGCTAAACCTGCAAAAGCAAAAAAAAAACCAAAACGGCAAAACGCCGCTAAATGCTAATGCCAAAACGCTAAAAAAAAGCTGAAAAATGCTGAAAACCTCATGTTTTTAACGTGACTTTACACAGCTAACGTTATTAAAATGCCCCGTGTGTATGGAGACTAAAAAGAGGCAAACTGTCAAGAAAAAAATTGTGGGGGTTAAAAAAATGCTAGAAAACGCAAACACGGTAAAACGCCGCTAATACGCTAATGCAAAAACTATAAAAAAACGCTGAAAAACTTGTGTTTTTAACGTGACTTTACCCTGCTAACTCTACCGGTGTTATTAAAATGCCCGTGTGTGTATGAGGGCTCATAGTAAATGATAGAAACGATAGAAAAAAGTATATATATATATATATAGTAAATGTGTTATAACAGATATAGAATGAATTTGAATGCATAGAAACCACTTTTCTTAAAACGCACAATAAATGTATATTAAAAAAAAAAAGACATGAAAACATTAAAAACTTAAGAAAAAAAAAAGCATATTTAAACAAAACTTGACAACCAGCTGTAAATAGTGACAGCAGGAATAATCACATACTAATAATAGGAGCTCTTATATTGATACCGATCCAGTAGATTTCTATTCAATCTCATCCTACCTGACACCTTTGTCTGATTGAATCATGAAGTCCTACCTCATTGTGACTGTCTGTGTCAGTGTCTGTGGAAGCTTCGACACCTCTACTATATATACAGGCTGATCCCGAAGGTCTGTCTCTCTGGAGCCGCCTTGATAGCATCATGGGCCCCTGGGCAAAGTAATGCACTGGGGCCCCTATGAGCCTGGCCCAATTTTACACATCTACCCTCAAGAATTAAAGTATAAATAATTGATAGAATTAAACATAAATGTATTAGTACTTTCAATAAAAGTGATTTTAACCGCCTCCTGCCCCCCCCCCCGTATTGGAAGCTCTCTTGTTCTGAGAGGACATCATATGACGTCCTCCCAATCTAGCTGCACATGCGTGCCCCTGGGGGGGGGGGGGGAGCATGGGGCAAGTGGTGGGTGCGCTCCCTAGGACACAGCTCATCACCAATCGCAGTAAAAAGCCAATGATGTAGGCTCTGTACCATGTGATCAGCTGTGTCCAATGTAAATCAAGTCCTGTAAACAGGAAAGGCTGGTCATCGGTAGTCCTCTCTTTGTGCTGACAGTGCGTAAGGAAAGGAGAGCCGATATGTGGCAATTCACACATCTACACTGATAATCAGGGCACTGATTGTCTGTGCCCATCAGTGCTGCCCTTTAGTGCCCATAAGTGATGACTCTCAGTGTTCATCAGTGCTGCCCATCAGTGCCCATCAGTGATGCCTGTCAATGCCCATCAGTGTCGCCTATCAGTGCTTCCTCATCAGTGCAGTCTATTAGTACCCATCAGAGCCACCTATCAGTGCCAATCAGTGCCCATCATTGCTGCCTATCAGTGCCACCTATCAGTGCCCATCAGTGTCACATAACAATGCCCATCAGTGCCACATATCAGTGCTTATTAGTAATTCCTGTCAGCGCCCATCAGTGCTGCCTATCAGTGCCCATTAGTGATGCCTGTCAATGCCCATCTGTGTCGCCTATCAGTGTTTCCTCATCAGTGCAGTCTATTAGTACCTATCAGTGCCAATCAGTGCGCATAATTGCTGCCTATCAGTGCCCTTCAGTGTCACATATCAATGCCCGTCAGTGCCATATATCAGTGCTTATTAGTGATTCCTGTCAGCGCCCATCAGTGCTGCCTATCAGTGCCCCACAGGGATGCCTGCCAATTCCCAGCAGTGTCGCCTATCAGTGCTTCCTCATCAATGCAGTCTATTTGTACCCATCAGTGCCAATCAGTGCCCATCATTGCTGCCTATTAGTGCCACCTATCAGTGCCCATCAGTGTCACATATCAATACCCATCAGTGCCACATATCAGTGCTTATTAGTGATTCCTATCAGTGCCTCCTTATCAGTGCTGCCTATATGGCCTGGGCAGGAATGGGGGGAAGTGCCCGGTAGCCAAGCGGTTAAACAATATGAAAACGTGCCCTAAATCAAGGGCTGATCAACACAATGGGCACAGTACTAGGGGGAAGGGGGTGGGGAGAAGGTGACAATATGGGGAAAGGGGGAGGGGTATAGAGAAGGGCACAATAGTGGGATGAGGAGGGCACAGTCCAGGTTCTGGTACGCTGGCCCGGGCCATCCTGGGACAGCTTAGTAAAAAGCGTGACTATCCCAGCAAATTTGGGACAGTTGACAAATATAACATAATACAGGATTATCCTGGGGCTCCCATACAGCTGGGGCCCCTGGGCAGTGCCCGGGGGTGCCCATGCATTAAGACAGCCCTGCTCTGGAGGGAACAACTGGCTGCTTTGACCTCCTTGTTGTCTTCATCACCCAAAATCCTCCCTCCGGCCTTCTTTCCAGACTTGCACAGTTGTAGCGGCTCCTATCCTGGATTGAAATTTGAACTTTGAAAATACAATTAAACAGAATAGAATAGAGTAAAACAGAACAGAATAGAATAGAAAACACAATAAAAAAATAGAATAAAAAAGAACAGAAAATAAAGGAACAGAATAGAATAAAAAATAGAATAGGTTTGAATAGAAATAGAATAAAATAGAAAGAATAAAGCCGCCTTACAAAATTTGAATTTTGAAAAAAAATACATTAGAATAAAGCAGAATAGAATAGAGTAAAACAGAGCAGAATAGAAAATACAATAAAAGCATAGAATAAAAAAGAATAGAATATAAAGGAACAGAATAGAATAAAAATAGAATAGGTTTGAATAGAATAGAAAAAATAGAAAGAATAAAGCCGCCTTCCAAAATTTGAATTTTGAAAAAAATACATTAGAGTAAAGCAGAATAGAATAGAGTAAAACAGAACAGAATAGAATAGAAAAATACAATAAAAGCATAGAATAAAAAAGAATAGAAAATAAAGGAACAGAATAGAATAAAAATAGAATAGAATAGAATAAAATAGAATAGAAAGAATAAAGCCACCTTCCAAAATTTAATTTTCGAAAAGAATACATGAGAATAAAGCAGACTAGAATAGAAAATAAAAGAGTAAAACAAAACAGAATATAATATAATATAAAATAAAGTAAAAGAATAGAATAAAATAGAATAGAAAATAAAGGCATTCAATAGAATAAAAAAATAGAATAGATTAGATTAAAATAGAATAAAGTAGAAATAATATAACCGTCTTCCAAAATTTGAACTTGGAATAGAATAGAACCAGCTATTCTTCACTATGAATTTGGATCAATTCGATATTTTTGATTCGATACTTTCAACACTTCAAATCCATTGGAAAAATGTGAATCTGGTGGAAAATGAAATAAAACGAAACAAAATTGATTTTGTTACAAGTTCAACAATCAGCCAGTTCCAGAACTGCGCATGCATGCAGTTCTGCAGCCAGCTGATTAGTAATTGGCTGAGCTTGGTTCTGTCGTGCCTGAGCTCGGCTTGAGCGGGGGTCGGGCTGCCACTGGTCAGGTGCGCAAGGAGGGAGGTGCGGGGGAAAGGGAAAGGAAGCTCAGGACTTTTCTTTTGAAAGTAACTGAAAGGAGGGGGCAGGGGATGAGGAGGACCAAAGCCTGCAGGCACTTGTAGGTTAGTGTGTGACAACTCTGTAGCATAGTCAGGCAGTCATTTTCTCTGTGGGGGGGGGGGACACTGATTTCAGGGGCGAGTGGAGATCCTAAGGTAAGGGGGGACACTGAT